ACCGAATAGTACCTCCCAGGGTTCGTACGGTCCCTGTGAAGTTCTGCTGTTACCGATGGTTGCAAAATGTTCCAGCAGTTGAAAGAGCCATTGAAATATGGGATGACTTGCTACTATACGTTAAAAAAAGTTGAAATGGGGCAGTTTAAAAAAAATTCATTGAAATCTTTCTCAAATATTTTGGAGGCAACTAAGGATAAAACATTTCTTATAAAATTAAATTTTTTTCTCTCTCTGTCGAAAATATTATTGCCTTTCCTTGAATATTATCAAAGCAATAAACCACTTATTCCCTTTTTTGCTGAAGATATCTTAAAACTTGTAAATGATTGCTTTTAGCACTTTAAAATCAAAAAATAATTTAAAAATTAAACTAGTATTTCAATGGCGTCTTAAGAAATATAGAACTATATAAACTTGCGCAATCTGAAATCAGCGCGTATGCTAGATTTAGCGCTCTGTTAAATGGGCGCATTTGCTAGATTTGGCGCTTTTGCACGTACATTTTGGCTGCAATTTTTTTACGGCCCTCGAAACCGAATAGTACTGAAAATCTTTATAAATTTAATTTTAATGATCCAAATTGTTATAATGATAAACGTAAAGTTTATTTGGGATTCATTGCTGAGCTAGTTAATGAATGATAAATGCCGCAAGAAGGACATTTCACAAGCTGCAAGTTTTGCATTGAAACTCAACAATGTGTCTTAACAATGATACAACACTTAATGGCTAAATGTCCAATAAATTATTCTCTTATTTGAAATGCATCTTGTATAGACCCACAGTTGATGGCTAAAAGTCCAAGAAAAACCCAGAACAAAATGAAAATAGTTCTAACCGTATTAACGCGTAATAAACGTGTTTTACAAGATAATTGTGATGAAATTCTGCTGCAGTTTGGAGAGATTCTAGACAAAGTAGTTAAGACAAATTTACATGAATTTTCTACTTTTGATTCTCAAAATCTTTCTCTTGACACATTTCTCACTCCTTATTTTCATGATTTTCACTATTCTAAAGTAACGAAAATAGTGAAAATGATTCTTATCTTGTCACATGGACAGGCCTTTGTGGAAAGGGGCTTCTCTGTAAATAAAGCAGTTGAAATTGAAAATTTAAGTGACTCATCACACATTTCTCAACGCACAGTATTTGATTACATAAAATTTTCTGGAGGTATTCTTAATATTGAAATTAATAAAGAAATAAGATCAGCAGCAGCTTCGATAGACGCTTTTAGCAGATGAAGCCGTAACCAGCAGGAACATTGATGGTTTATCAAAACAAATAAACTTAGAAGAATAGTTAAGAAAAAGGAAATAGACATAAATAAATTAGATGTTAAATATCTTAAAAATTTCAGATTTTTAAAAAGCATAAATGTTTTGTATCTTTTATTGCATAGTTTATTATTCTAGTATCTTTCAAAAAACCAAAGAAATAAATTGTATGTTTACAAATCTGTTATTTTAATCTGCAAAATATTCTTACATTGCAATTATAATAGTAGTTGACTGTGTTTAAATAAATATCAAATAAGTTAAATAATAATCATGTAAATCTCTAAAATATCTGTGACTGTTAGTAGTGTGAAATACACCTATACAAGTTTTTCAAGAAATTATATTCTTAATTTAATGTTATCTACTTCATAACTTGTAGGGAGTTAGTTTAATTTTCAAAATTGTTTTATGTTAAGTATTAAATTGAATTTAATAATAGTGCATAATACACACTTCTGTTAGTTTCTTAAATGGATAATTGCTTTATTCTATTCGTTTTTCCCCCCCTGATAGGTCCTTAATTTTTTTCTTTGATGGTCCTTAAAAGTCGTTAATTTCCATGTAAGGAAATGTGTACGAACCCTGCCTCCACTGCCATCGCTGTTAACTGAACCTACTAACATTTTACAGGAAGAGTGGTGCAAGATTTCCTGGCAAACCATACATGACCTTTATTTATCCATTCTGAGAAGCCTACAAGCTGTGGTTCTGTGTGAATGCCAGTGGTTCTCTTACACTGTATTAGTCACAGCAATATATTTTGTTATTTCAGTGTTTTCATATTTTTGTCCAACCCTTGTATCTTATGTTAACAGATGATTAATAGATGTGTTTTAATTATAAATTCTGGTTGATGTTTCTTTTAATGAAGTCAGTCATGCCCCCATCTGATTGTTAAGGAAAATGGATCTTCAAAGAACCTGGCTATCATATTGCAGTTTAATTGTGGAATTAATTAATTATGAGTACCTAAATTATGGTCTGATTTATTATTTTTTATTTGAAATGGTTATTGAATGGTTTCATGTGTGGATAATCTTTCCCTGGTGTCTTGAGGAGTAGGTGGTACCGGCATGGTAGATGGGAAAGTTCCCCTTGTGCTCATATTTGTATTTCAATGAAATGAACTTGTGGCTATTTCTAGAGTTTGGGATGAGATTTACATGATTTCAGAAATGTCAGACGGTTATGACATTTTAAAGACAGATAATACAGGGTGTTTTTAAAGTTACAGGGTGTTATTTTATGAGTTATATGTTTATAACTCATAAAATAATAAGATTAAAATTAATAACATAAATGGTTAGATAGACTCAAAAAGTTTCATGACCCTTGTCAATGAACTTCCACGTGTACCCCCTTCGTCGCACGGAGAATATCAAGTCGATATTCAATTTCACTCCAGGTACTGGCAAGCATGTCGGCATCCACAGAGGCTATTGCAGTTGTAATTCTATCTTTTAGGTCATCAATGTTCGACACTCTACTCCTGTAAACGTTGTTCTTTACAAATCCCCAAAGGAAAAAATCCAGCAGCATTATATCAGGTGATCTGGGTGGCCAAGGAATTTGACCTCCTTGCCCAATCCATCTATGAACTACCATAAAATCTGTGCTTTCTCTTGTGGTGTATGCATTCTCCTTAATATCCGGTAAAAAAAAAAAAAAAAAAAAAAAAAAAAAACATACAAAAGTACTAGAACAAACACATCAACATTGCAATACTAATTCAGAAGACAAACAACAAAAATCAGCGTTATATTTACAAAATTTGTTGTTTGTCTTCTGAATTAGTATTTATTCGGCGTGTTATTGTGTCTTAATAACATTGCAATAGTTGCCAAAAACAAAAAAGAGAAAAATGCAATTAATAAGCAACGATATTTAGAAAAGTACATATATTTAGACTGGAAAATGAAATTAACCACACATGCAGACAATATTTACAAAAGTAAAGATATTCAAACCTGAAAAGGAAAATATATAAGTTATTCCATCAATAAATGCTATAAGTTTGTTTATATCTTCATTATTTTATGAGTTATTAAACATCAAAATGGGTCTGGAATAAATTGCATTTTCATATTTATTAAAAAATATATGTTTTGATTTTATATGAAGAAAATTATTTCATTGTCAATGTTATTGAATTAAAGAGTTAGAATTTTAAATTAATTTAATTTACTTTCTGAAGATAATTAATTTGTGTAATTTAGTTTAACTGCAATCACCAATTGCCTTATTTCAGATTCTAAGTGAAGTTATTTTAAAATTTTTGGTCTGCCACTAGTTTTTCAGCTAATTAATAGAAAGTATTAAATTATTATATCCCAATTCATTTAAAGTTAAATTTTTCTACATAACATCTTTCTGTGGCTTTACTTTAGATAATTAATCCAACTAATTCTCATTATGTTATTTAGCTTCCTTTCCTTTTATTTGGTGAAAAGGAATACAGTCAAAAGTCTTTAAACCGGACTCGTCGGGACTTCGGCAATTCCGTATTATAGATCTTCAGTTTAAATCTGGTAAGATGGCATGCAGAAAATATAAAATTAAAAATATTAAACTGTAATTTATGAAATAAAGAGCAGTTAAGATGCAATTATGATTGATATCAATGAGCAATTATGCGTATCAAAATTTACAAAAAAAAAAGCTTAATATTTATTTGTTTACTTTATTAAACATTTCTTTCAACGCGCGCATGCGTAAAGCTTACATTACGCATTGTCGAAATTAGAAAATTGCAACCAGAAAATTATTTGATGTGTATTCGTGATATTTATAATGACGAGGAATTTGATTTAAATCATATCAAAGATATGGAGTACAACGAGATGAAATACTACATTTAGTAAGGAATTGTAAGCCGAATAAAATAAAAACATCTGCCCTGAAGATAAGGATAGTGCTGACAGATCAACTTCCAGTTCATTGCATGCCGCGATGTCCTCCCCCCCACGCAGAGCAGCGTGAAATTGATAAAAAGATTTCGGAATGGTTAGAGAAACAAATCACCTCTCTGTCACTCTATTCATGCCTTTATCCATTTTTGCAGCAATTACACTTTTTGTTTGATGGACATATAAATATGCTTTCATTGTGTAGATCCTTCGGCAGCTCCAGAATCGGAAATTCTTTTTGATATAATCGAAAGTTCAAGCTTACTTCTATAAAATTGCTCTAACAGTCTGCAAAAAATAATAAGCCACATCCAATTAGAAGATTAAGGAACAACACAATCTGCAACATTAACTGAGATAATTTTAGCTTAGTTTATACCGTCCGTTATACATTAAACGAGCATGCATAAACGTATTATGCGCATGCGTAAACGCATATGCGCATGTAAAGGTATTGTGCATTTACGCATGCGCAGAAAGTTTGTAGCTTTGAGGTCTGGATTATAGATCATTCCGGATTAAAGACTTTTGATTGTATAAGAAAATTGTTGTTAACTAGAATTTGAATTAATGAGATGATTCTAGAAACTGAACCTATTATTTAAATTTTAAAAAAGTTATAGAAATTATGATATAAAGAAGTTTTTTAATTAAATTCATTCATCTGCTTATAAAATTAAAAGAAAAAGTCTGCCTTAAAATTTGGCGTTTAAAATCTGCATAAGAAGTGATACCATTTTCTAGTGTTCCCCAGCCTTTGGCTGTATTTGTTTTTGAAAAATATAATTAATTTATATCCGCATAATAGCTGGAATGTGTGGATTATATCTGGAGTCTTTCTGCTGTGGATTAGAGGCTGTCCTAAACATATATCAGTTGGAACTGGTTGCAGTTGAAGAAGAATTGTTGAAGGATCCATTTTTACCTCTTACACATTTTTTAAAGCTGGACAAGGTATAAATTTTTGGTCTGTTTGAAATTAACTTCTAGGCTTAAGCAAAGTATAGGTTTCTTTTTTTAATGAATATAGTGTTTGCATTATATTTGATACTTTTTGATTAATGGGGTGCCAGTCATATTTGAATGCTGAAGTACCTGATGAGGTAATTTATTTAGATATTTTTTTGTTAAAGCCTTACTATGAATTTTCATTGGCATTCTGATTTAATTTGCTTATTTCTTTCCACTTGCCTCTGTCTTGATATTAGACCTTTTTCCTCCCAAAACATTGTTTTATTTTTCAAGCTTTCTTCCTTTTTTGCTAAATTACTGTGAGGCAATGTTATCTGACAACATTGGCAAACTGTAAAATTTGTGTCCACCTCAGTGGTTAGAAAATATGAGTGTCACTCTCAAGTTTTGAGATACTGCTAAATGTAGAAGTTAAAACTTACAAATCTTAAGCATATTAAAAGTAATTTTCTCAACATCAGTGCATTTTTGTAGATAGATTTTCCAAAGATTTAAACACTTCAAGCTATCCATTGCTTGGAATCAATAATAAAAAATATTCTTTTATAGCCTCATCAATTTCATCTTTGGAATTAAAATGACAGGCTACATAATTTTTTTTTTTTTTTTTTTTTTTTTTTTTTTTTTTTTTTTTTTTTTTTTTTTTTTTTGTCACTCATAGCAAGATCAGAACAATAGGCTGGATGTTTGATCACTGAAGAAAACTGCAAAAATTTCTTTCACTGCTTGTTGGCTTCTCACCATTGTTGACTTGGGAGTCATCTTCGAAGACCCATACTTTACTTTCTTGACATATTAGAATCTCAAAAAATGATGTGTTCATTTGATCACCAATTACGGTTTTAGAAATAATGTAGTATATGATAGTATCCGCCATCATTAAGTAATCTTCGGTTTCTGATATACTCCACATTAATCTATCAGGAACCCAACAGCAAACTGATTTTTCATATGCTGTCTTTCATAAATTATTTTTTGTATAGCTGCAGATCTAATATTAAATTTCTTCTGTATCGTTTGATAGATACAGCAGTTATCATTGATTTACATTTCTCATGTGGTTGACATATTATAAAGCACTACTGTTGACACAGGTCTTCTTGTGTGTTCTTCATCGAGGAGAGAATTTAGATTTAGAATTACAGTATTCTATGAAACACCTGAGTAAAGTGACATGAGATGGAGCTTCTTTTCCATATGCTAACTGTAAACCATCTGAATTATCTTATTCATTATAATCATAGAAAATTGTAATGCAATGATGCTTTTACATCAGCTTCATTTTACTTTCTTTCAAAATTTATTCCATGATAGATAAATTATCATTGTTGCCACAAATTTTCATCTGTAAACCTGAAAGAGTTCAAATTTACTATTCTAACAAATAATTTTCTTTTGCCACATATTGTCAGGTCACTTAAAAATTTCAGAGTGACCTATGTGTAATAGTTCCTCTGCTGCATTTTTCTCTAATGAGGCCATTAAGGTTTTCATAGAAAGATGAGGAATAACAAAGAAATGACACAATCTGCCAAAAACCTGTTATGAGGAACGGATACAGCCTACATTATTTTTTCTGTTTATGAATAAGCTTTTGTCAATTTGCTCAATTTTGCTTCATCTTCTGATTTTAATGTTAGGATGAGATATCTAATAGCTGAAACGTTCTCATATACTCCACATTAAAATATCAGGAACCCAACAGCAAACTGATTTTTCATATGCTGTCTTTCATGAATTATTATTATTATTATTATTATTATTATTATTATTTGTATAGTAGTAATGATAGGAATGTAGGATCGAGCAAACTATCTTTGTGTTTAGATACCTTTCTCTTCCCAACATGAACAAAGGCTTCATACTCATTTCGGTTTTCAAGCCACATTTTAATTTCGTGAGATAATTATTCAAATGCAATCATTCTTTGCAAAAAATAATTTTTTTCATGAAGAAATGGAATAGCCATTTATTCATCTCTTGACAAATTCCAAATTGGAAAATCCATTGCAGTATTCAAAAAATAAATAAATAAAAAATTTGTTTGTATGAAACTTAGTGCCAAGGAACTATGCCAAAATATGAAAAGTGTCAAGTGGTATGTATGGCTTTAATGGAAAAGTACTGTTTATTTCAATTTAAGGTACCTATGCAGTGACGTCGTTGCAAGTAAATGGAAAGAATTGACATTGATTCAATAATACTCCCATTTGAGATTTTCTGTTTTACTTAAAGTGCTTAAAAGGAAAAAGAAAGGAAGAATGAGTATTGATTGCATGATTTAGCAGTTGCCAAGTGATGAATAGTCTTGATTATTTTTTTTTTTTTTTTTTTTCAAATAAAGATATCATCCATACTGAAGTATGTTTGGAAGAACTACAACAAGATGATATTGTATTTTGCTACTACTGAAGAATGGATATGGCATTGTGATGGGAGATTTTACCATGAGAAGGAAATTTGTTAAATATTTTATGCTGTTCAAAAGTTTGTGTATTCCTTTTCTGATATGCATTCTATTTATTTACTATTGTCTAAAGCTTAATTTTTTCAACTGTCTAGGAATGAATCATTGCATGACTGTGAATTGAAATAATTTGCATCTTTATTTGTCAATTTCTGTGGTTATCTTTTTGTTTTTAATTTTGATTTAACAGCATAGTCTCTTTCTCTTGTTTTTTTAAAGCTGTTGTATTGCTATGGTTGTCATTTTGGTCTCCTCCAGTTATATTTTATGCTAATACTCACGTAATTGCCAAATGGCACCTCATTAATTGGAAAAGTGCCTTGTTATTTATTTATAATTCATTTTAATGCTGTAAATTACTTGCAGTTTGGTAAAAGATGTCACTGATTTTTGGATTTTTTAAAAAAAGCCATTGATTAAAATCTTCTCTTTATTTTTTTAAAAGTATTTTAAACAATTTTACTTCTTTGCAAAGATTTTATTTTTTGTATTCAGTAATTAATATCTCCTGAAAAACATTACAAATAACCTTAAAATCTGATTTTAATACATTTTCCATCATTTAAACAAGCTAAATAAATGATAAATAAACCAAATAAAATAAGCCATGTTGGTACAATGCAAATAAGTGTGTTACTTTCATGTCTATTTAGTCTCAAGCATAAATCTGATGATGAGTGAGTGGCACCAGTTCAAAATGCGTGCTACATGGTCTAAATAAATGCACAGTAAAAACACCATCTTTCACAAATCTAAAATAGATCATAAAGTAGGAATATTTTTTTAAATATTAGAAATGCATCATTTCATAGTTAAAATAAGGTAGGCTAGAGGCAAAAACTTGTGAACAAATAGACAAATGCACTGATGTTTTAATTAATTAATCAATCAATATGTATGATGCTTGAAATTTGGTTTAATATCTACAATCAGCTTATAATATGTATATTTGTTTGCATGCAAGTGAAAATTATGCTTGCTCTTGATTCTTTTAACAAATTTAAAACAAATTTAAATGTAAATTGATAGTTGAAAACAAATTTAAATGTAAATTGATAGTTTTGAGACTCGTAATGCAACAGATTCCCCCAAAATCAGAAAAGAATTAAAAATTAATTTTCAGCTTGCATCTTAAGGCTCTTCAGCATGTATATTTAAGATATTGGCCAAAGTCTTAAATATATAAAATGTTACTGAGCATGTTATTCAAGTAGTAATCAACAGCTTGCCTGAGTCACATTTAATGAATGTAGTGGAATTAGTTTAAATACATCACCTGAAGTATATTGGAACTAACTCAGTATGAGACTTCTTTGAAATCTTTATAAGGAAATCACCAATTATCATGCAGGTTGTAAAAGAGAATCGAGATGTAATATATAAAAATATTTGTTCAGAATTTCATGATATGGCAGTCAAATGAAATGTAGATCTCTTATATTGCTGAAAAGTTTCAGTCACTTTGGATAAAATCTAGAAAAATAACTGAAGCATTGCTGAAACTGCTAAAGTTTGAAAAGATCTTGAAAGCAGATTAACAAACTTTAATAAAACATAGATGCATAAAATTATTTAAATCACAATACTAACAAGCACTGTCATCAGTGTACTTTTAACACATATTTTATTATCAAAATATAAACTCGAAGCCTTACTTGCAAGTGAAAAGGGGCAATGCTGAGGGGTAAAAGAATTAGATGCTACTGATAAACTAATAAGTACAGCAAAAACTTCATAGCAGGGATGGAAGGAATGTTTTCTACTTTTGTAATTATACAGAAGAAATTGAGAAATCAGTTAGGGGTTGAAAAGCTGGCAAAATATTTTTTGGGGAGGGGATTGATTAAAGCAAATGAGAGTAATGCTATTATAATGTAATAAATTAATTTGTACATTTTATATATTTTGCAGATTAAATGCCATGCCTATGAATATATTATTAATTTTTTATTATATAAAATACAAAACTATATTTTTCTCTTATTGTTAAACTAATTTGTATGTAAAAAGATGTAGTATACTTCTTAATATAATTCATTTAAATGAGCTTTTATCAAAATTTAGTGCTGTAACTCTCTTATTGGTGTGAAGTACATGTATATTATCACACAGTTGGAACTATAAAATGCTCCCAGTAAAGTACAGTAATTCAATATAAGTAATTATCTGAAAATATAAATTTTTTAAGGTAGTTAAATTGTATGATTTCTTATAAGCAAAGTCTGTTGTATGCCCAAGGGATGGTATTCAAGTTTTAATTTTTTAGCAATGTTGAAAATCTTTAAATAAAATTTTCTGATGAATATTTGAAACCTCTTTTAACCTTTTCCCGTGGGCTATAGGGTCCAATTTTGAATGTATTTTGGCCATTTAGTCACTTATTTTAACTGAAAGGAACAGAAAAACAAATCGACAGGGTATTGCACTTCCTAATCCATATTAAGGAGTAAATTTTAAATCTCCATAGTTTACTGAAATTCTTTGAGACACATTTAAAGTAGTGAATGTGCAGGACATATATGTCTCAGCCCCCTGGGAAAAGGTTAAGAAGTATGGCAATATTTTGCTTAGTAGTTGCTTTCTGAAAATATTTCAATATGGTTGTTATCTAATTCCTTAAAAAATACTTGTAATTCTTATTTTTACTAGGAATTTTTTATTAATAATTTAGTGCTTGCCTTTCTTCTGGGGGGGGGAACTGCTATTAAATAACATTTGAAAACTTAGATAATTTATATTGTATTCAGACATTTGTCAGATTTGTAGATAAAGGAGAATTTAAAATTATGTACAATTTGTAAGTATGTCAGATTTCTTCAAGAAAGTTTATGGAGTTTTGACAGTATGCACAAAGTTATTTGATTAGATGGATTTATTTGATTTTTTGCTTCTTGATTAGATGGATTTTATTATTATTTTTAAGATTTTTGTTCATAACACAGTAAAATATTTTATTATTTTTTCCCTTCTTTAGTATCAACATCTTTTTCAAGTTTTATCTGATATTGTGAATGAAATTGTCAAGGAAAAGGTATATAAATCACAACTAAATAAATATATATGTATTATGTAAAAGTTTATACTTATTCTAAATAATGAAATGTTCAGCAAAAAATTAAAAATTATTAGGCTTTTAATTTTTGACATTATTCTTTTACTAAAAAAAGGAAATATTACTCGCTGTTATGTTAGGGAAATAATTGTAGCATATATATATATATATATAAACAATTTTCCCCCCTGATATAATTTTTGTTTTTTTGTGATGCAATGTTTTGGGGCCTAATGCTAAAATGACACACACACACACACACATATATATGCAGTCTAAAGTCCTTAATCCGGACATCCATAATCAGGATCTCAAAGCTGCAAACTTTCTGCACATGCGTAAACGCATAATGCATTTACGCGTGTGCATAATACGCTTACGCATGCACGTTTAATGTGTAACGGACGGTATAAGCTGAGCTAAAATTATCTAATTATCTATTTCACTTAAAGTTGCAGATAGCATTGTTCCTTAATCCTCATTATTTTTTGCAGACTGTTAGAGCAATTTTTTAAAAGTGAGCTTGAACTTTTGATTATGTCAAAAAGAATTTCCGATTCTGGAGCTGCCAAAGGATCTTCAAAGCAAAAGCATGTTTCGATGTCCATCAAACAAAAAGTGGAATTGCTGCAAAAGATGGATAAAGGCATATCCTTTGTTTTTCTAACCATTCTGAAATCTGTTTATCAATTTCACGCTGCTCTGTGGGGAGGGGGTGGAACGTCTCGGCCCGCAATGAACTGGAAGTTGATCTGTCAGCATTATCCATATCTTCAGGGCAGATGTTTTTATTTTATTTTGGCTTATAATTCTTTACTAAATGTAGTATTTCATCTCGATGTATTCTGTCTTTGATATGATTTAAATCAAATTTCTTGTCATTATAAATATCACGAATATACATCAAATAGTTTTCTGGTTACAATTTTTTAATTTCAACTATGCGTAATGTATGCTTTATGCATGCGCGCATTGAAAGAAATGTTTAATAAAGTAAACAAATAAATATTAAGCTTTTTTTTTTTGTAAATTTTGATACCCTTTAAATCATAATTTGCTCTTTATTTCATAAATTACGGTTTTATATTTTAAATTTTATAATTTCTGCATGCCATCTTACCAGATTTAAATTGATGATCTATAATCCAGAAAAACCGATAATCCGGAAACGCCGAAGTCCCGACAAGTCCGGATTAAAGACTTTTGACTGTATATGTTATTTCAAAAGCCTTCCTTTCATTCAAAGAAGGACAATTTGCATCTCTAATAGAATACATATTTTGATGAAAAATTTCTAATTTACAAGATTTTGTTTCTCTGTATTGCATGTTCTCAATAAAGCTGGAAGTAATTTCTTTAAATATCAGATTTTGGTAGATCTTTGGATTATGGTAACTTGGCGATTTTTTGGCGAAAATTTGGCGACCAACTCTGCAACAGAAATCCTCTATTTTTTTTTTTCTGCCGCCATTTTGTCTTCACGAAGTAAAGACATGTTTCTTTTCTTTTTATTTACTCAACACTTTTTCCAACAATCTACTACCGAATTACAACTTATGCTAGAAATTTTATGTAACAAAACTGCTTAATCATGACAAATATTAACTGCAAAATTGGGAAAAAGTGCACAATCGCAAACTCCTTGCACGTTTTTCAGAATAGCACATACACATAAACCATTTACACGTCGACTTATTTTTACTTAAAAAAAACATCCCAGAATTGCACAAAAATGGCATTGCACACACTCTTAACTTTATCCATCTACACTGCTATTTTCTCATAAATTACAAAAATTTGCACGAAAATACAGGAAAATTTTCTTAATCTTTAAATTTGGTAAAAAGCACATATATGAAATTACCTGATCGCGAAAAAGTATATACTCTTTCCAAGAATGAACATTTCCACGTATAAAATAAATAAAATACCCAAAAGCTTTTACCTCTAAATTATCTATTATATTATAAACATCACCAACGAATTTATATGCAAACATTAAAAATAGTTACAAATACTTAGTGTCAAATATTTAAATTATTTCCATACACGTTTACTTCCACTGAAACGTATACCAAAATACTACAAAACATATAACTCTCAAATCACGATCATTAAATTAAATATTAATTAAATAAAAAACACTACTTAAAATATAAATAAGCACATACATTAAATTAATTAAAAATTAGCTTACATTCCTAATTACTTTAAACTAAATTCATTGCTAATAAACATTTTCCAATAATAGCATATAATTTTTATCCTTACATTAGAACAATGCTTAAAATAATATCCTCAAATTAATTAAAAATACTAACTTACCAAATCTTCTACAGAATCTTGAGTGCATGGTGGATCACAAAATGTCCATTTTCACCTAAATTTCTTACACCGTCATTCAAACTTATCTGTAATATCCTTCCTTTCACACAATCTCTCTTTTATCTCATTTCATTCGCACATGTTAAAAAATTCATACTTATCCGCAATTAAGCAATTCTTTTCAATTACACATAAATGGAATAAAAATTTTGGATTTACTTTATATAGGGCCATGGAATCCAAATATTAAACAACACTGTCTTCACAAAACATAGAATGAAACTAATGCTATAAAGTACAGCAGATATTTTTTTTTAATTTACACCCTTTTCTGATTAAAGAACAGTGATTCGTCCATTAACGTCACATGGCACATCTCATGATCTCTCATTTGCCTCACACAAAATAATGCGTAATCGGAACTCAGTACTTCTTACATTATTCCCAAAGTCCTAGGTAGTAAAATTTATCGCGTCCAAAATGTCGCCAAACTACCTTGTTACCATATTCCAAAGATCAGCCCAGATTTTCTGCACTTGCTATTTGTTGGAGTCGTTCATTTTTTTATATATTCATATATGAGTTATGTTTATTTATATATTCATAAAATTGTTTCTAGATTCATGGTTGCAGAATATTGGAATTAGTCTATAACCAATCTAGTTCTGGTGTGCCATTAATTGAAGCTTCAATGAACAAGTAATTTTTTTGTTTGTTTCTATATTGTGATAAGATATTACCTTATATTTTAAGCTTGTTTATGCAGTTTATCTCTATGTAATATATACAGAGTATCTATATAAATAATTCACCAAATCAACAATAATTGCTGACAACATTTTTTAACAAATAAATAATATGTTAATCAAAAATTGTGTTTCAAGAGAAAGTTATGCTATCATTTTCATTGAATCAAAGTTTTTAGTGCACTTGCTTCTCTCTATCAATAATAAAACTCTAAATGAGCATGTTTCTGGGGGAATAACATTAGCATTTCATCCAGAACTGTCTGTGTCCATATCATTCTGCTTCAAACAGAAAATAGTTTTATGAGGTAGTTATCTTTATGTGCTTTAATTATAGCTTTCTGCCTATTTAACCATTGCATCCAAATATGAATTTCCAGTTGAATAGATTATCACTACACTAGAAGATATTTATGTGAGATTTAAGAAAATTACAGAATCAGTAGAATTGAAAAGCAGGATTGAAGAAGCATCAGTCACTAGCAACGTATTCCACAGTGTGTGAAATAGATTTGTCAATAGACTTGAAAATAGTAAAAATTACCAAGGGTGTTTGGAAATTATTTGTGTATTTTACTATTTAGACATTTGAGGAGAATAATATGCATTGAAAGCATCTAAGAATATAATGGTATGCCTCTTCCCTGAAGCACTTTTTCTAGCAGCATTTTTTTTTTTACCTATTATCTAGTAAATAGTCTATTTACATCTTATATATACAGTCAAATCCTGTATAAACAAATCTGTATTTAACAGTTTTCTTTAATGAATTCCCCCCCCCTGTGTAATAAGTCTTTAATCCTAATTTAGCAAACTGTCAAAATTAAAAATAAATAAATAAATCCATGTAGAATTTTTTCAAAATTATTCCTGGAAATGAATCTATTTGTCAGTTGTCTTTAAATTGCATGTGACCTTATTCATGAGCAATTTCTAATTATCCTTGTTTTAGCATTGAGCTAAAAAGATCCAGTGTTGAGCATCTTTTAGATTGAAGCTATTCACATAAACAAAAAGAACACATGAAATGTTGCAGGCTTGTGTACTAGTATCTTCAGACCATCAAAAGACAAAAATTATCATTTCTTTTCTCAAGTTTGTTGCCTCACATGCTTGTGGATGAGACTGAAAAATGCTAGTTTTTTAAAAGAAGGTTGGTGTTGTAATCAGAAGTAAACTCTCATGTTCAAAATTGTCTGAGTTAAATATGTTTACCTGCACTGACAGTTTGAATCTATTATTGAGATGCAGTATTGTTTTACCCCTGATTAATCTAAGATCCCTAAATGAGTGAAGAAACGGGTTTTTGATTATAAGTAACATATTTTTATGAGGCAGAAAGCATGTCTATTTTATTCAACATTTGTGTATTTCTTGTCTTGGAAACTGAAGCTTTAGAGGTGGCTAAGTCAAAAAAACATGAAAGAATTTGAGTAAAAAAATTGTACTTTTGAATTAAATGAACAGTGCATTGATAGTCAAATAAACTTAGCAACTAGTTTGGGAATTTCAACTTAACTGTAAGTACTATTTAAAAAAAAAGTGTATACTGAAGAATCTGTTTCAGACTATGGAGAAAATTCATGATCAAATGGAAATGAAATAAAGAGAAGCTGTTATCTGGAACTTTAAAAATGGTGTTTATAGACACAGGGACAATAGTATTGTAATGAATTATTGTTGTAGAGTATAATTTTTACTTTCTTGTAAAAAAAAATATTGTAATTGCAAAAAAATTCAATGATCAGATTTCAATGGAAATATCCATTTTGACTAAGATACAATAATATGCCGAACAAGTATTAATTTAGAAGTGAAACATCAAGAATCAGTGTTATATTAGGAATGAGATTAGATCTTATCTCGTTCAGCGCTTTAGCAGCTGAGGATGATGGTTCGGTAAAACCATTGAAACTAGTCCTGTGATAATTTGAAAATATGACGCTGTTTCTTGTTGTTTCACTTCTAAATTAATCCATTTTGAATGTTCGTGAATCCATTTTGAACACTATATTTTTATGTGATGTCTGTATGTGGAAACAGAATAAAGGACTCTTTATTCTGTTTCCACAATTGGATTTTTTTCGTGAGATCTGCACATACGAATGTAATTTGCATAACTCAGAAATTTTTAGCTGTAGAATGTTGAAATTTTGTGTATCGGATTGCTATAACATCTAGTTATGTGCATCTCTTTTTATTGTAATTGTCAATACCCAAAGTATATATATATATATACATATATATACCTTCCTTACCCATCTTGAAAGTTCTTACTTGGCTTTATTTTCATAATCGTTGATGATACACATATACTTCCAATTACAGAAGTGTTTTAAATGATGAAAATATTCATGTTTTGGTAATTTCACGTTAAAAAAAAATTTGAACTAATAATGAAATCGGATATTTAATGCAGTCTCTTAGTTCCTATATTTATATTTGAAAAAGTTTTTGGTCGTTATGGAAAAATAAAAATACAAGAAAATTTACTCCTGTATGACAAAAATTAACCAGGATATTTAATTTCAAAATTAGGTTAGAATAATATGGGGAAATAAGTTTAAATGAAATGCAGACGAAAATGTAATTTGAGAGGCATACAAAGAAGTTGTGCTATCCACATCAGATTTTTTAACGTGGTATGGATAAAAATTTGCATCAGCATTGGACTGGCATGTTAGCAACTGAAATTTTCACTTAACACCGACTACTTATGGGTACACTTTGTCGGCCAAATTATTGTTTCTTTTCTTTTTGAAAGTTTGGGTGATTTTAAACAATGCATCACAATAACTGCTATGACAGGTGCCTGAGACATACTAGGAAAGAACTTCAGTATTGCATTGATAACTGACCTGTTACAAAATTGTCACACATAGAATACTTAGCCATGTAAACTTCAGGTTGAAGTTTTCTAATCATACAAGAATTACAGCCATGTTATTAAGATTCGTGTTTCTATAAAACTTTGAAAGTATCAGTTTCTTTTGGGCTAAACTTATATGCATGCGCGTGCGTGCTACTCTAATTTACAGTTCTTCAATGCAGAGGTTATCTCCATCAAATGAAAACTTTATGTTTTTGAACTTTCATTATCAAGAATGTTACCTTTTATATTGTAACCCTTATTAGTATAGAAATTAGTGATGCTGGTTGCTGTATTATTGGGCCCACTTTCAGATCCTGAAGAAGACATGGAATATTGATGGTGTTAAGGCAACAAGAATCAACATAATATTTGTAAATTTGCATAACTAGTTTTAGAAATTTAAACTTAGAATCTGAATCTTCTTTGGCTACAAAAGTGCTGGTGATAGAAGAGAAGCTTATGCATAGGCAATAACAACGAGAAAGTCAAACTACTGGTATTGCTGAAATATGAAAACACCTATGAATTAATATCCTTTAAAGCTGAGAGCAAAGATGGATTGAAATTCTTATCATTAACTAGAACTGAATTTTTATGAATGTGAAATACTAGAAAATCTAATTCACTGTCAGAAGATGGTTTTTTTTTTTTTTTTTTTTTTTTTTAATAATTTTAGCTGCTGAAAAAAGGAAAATATGATTTTCTGTTCAATAGTATTGGTCAAAAGAGGATTTATATGTTTCATTTTTCCTAACATGTGCCTCATATTCGTTCACAAGGAATTATAAATCTTTTTTAATTTAATCAATATAAATTAAACTACATTGGTGAGGAATCCTCTATATATCCCAGGAGTTCATATCCAGAATGTGAAGTGTGAAACTTTAAATTTTATTGATAGAAGCAAAAAAATTATCCAAAAGTTGAATTTTTATAAAATGCTTGCAATTTTATAGCAAATTAATGAAAAGAAAGGAATTACAACAGCATTCTTATAATTTCCCAAAATGAGAGGGGGCTTTTAAATGTGTTCCGATAAGAATAACCACTTAGTCAATAATGTTAAGTGCAAATCATTTGTCAGTAGTATCCACTTTTAAGTAGTGTAGCTCTTAATGAAAAGCCAATTTGGAGGAGCAGACTTGAAGCACTCAGAAAAGAAAAGCTAACTTCTGTTTAGTCGAAAGACATAATTCGAAATTTGGTGGAATGCAAACAGATAAATATTTGCATTAAATAGTAGTATTGAAGTTGGATATGTTGTATGTGACCAAAATGTCAAGAAATGGAATGTCTCAAGTTCAGCAATGAACTGAATAGTAGAGTCAGTGTTACTCATTATTGAAAGAATTTTGTTTAAATAATCTTTATTACCATCGAATAGAGTAAAGGTATTATCAGTGTAGTAGAACCACACAGTGAATTTTAAAATTTCAAATAATTTTGATTCATAATAATGCATATAGATGTCAGCAAAGAGAGGACTAAGAAGGCTTCCCATGGCTAGTCTCTCAATCTGGTTGTAATATTTATTTTGAAAAACAATTTTTTTTTTCCAGACAAAGTTGAATAAAGAAAATTAACTCATCAATTTCAATACATGGGAAAGAAATTCTTGAGTCTGGTTTTTAGACACTTAAAAGCACCTTCTACTGGGCTTTAACATTGGTGAATAATGATTTTACATCAAAAGAAACCAGTATGAAATTTCTAGGAGAAATGCATTTTAATTTATGTGTAAACTCTATTGAATTTTTTATGATTAAGTGTCATTAACTAACAAAGCCAAAAATCTGAGAACTAAATATTTAGCTAACGAGTAGGATATTCATAAATGTATAGTGTTTGTGCAGCATCAGAGCACTTAAAATACTGGTATGCCCAGAGTCCTCTCATGTGATTCTATGGTAGGGAAATGGGTGGGAGATGTTCAGAGCCGTTCTCTTCGAACATAAATCAAAACAGGGACAGAGGAGTGCAATGGAATTTTGCCTGCATAACCAATACGAAACTGTGTTACACCGCTAACTACCTGTTATGTGAATTTGCATTTTCCTAGCTATTAAGTAATCATAATCAGGAATACCATTGTAATCTTTCAGAAGAATAATGCATGAATTATTTTGATTCCCATTGTTAAAGTTTATCATTTCTGTATCTTCTAAAAATATAGAACTAATAAATTATATAAATAAATGAAGTTTAATAATATACATGAAATAAAATATATTTAAATTTTGATTATAGCTTTTACTTTTTACAATAGTATTAGAAATTTGAAGTATTGTTTATGCTACAAACTTGTATTTGCTGTTATTAATCATTCTTAATGTGTATTCAGAATACTGCAACACTGCCATTCTGTGATGTTTAAACAAGTATTTTGCTGGATAATGAATGGTTATGTTGAAGATATTTACCACGAATTTTTCATTCAACCAGAGCAAACTGTTACTAGTACTTGCTCTCTGGAAAAGCAGGTGAAATCTTTTGCTCATCCATTGATAAAGTCTGATAAAGATTTAATAAAGGTAATTAGAAGGATTCTTTTTCTTTTAAACAGTGTATTTTATTTCTCAGCTGTTTCATCTGAAACAACTGAGTTAAGTTGTTTCAGTCTGATTTATACAGTAAAAGTCTGAGATCGAGACTTCGGCGATTCCGGATTGTGATTTTTCCGGATATTAAATTACAGTCAAAAGTCGGTAATTCGGACACCCATAATCTAGAATGATCTATAATCCGGACCTCAAAGCTACAAGTTGACGCATGCGCGTAAGACCTTTACAGCTAAGAATATGCGTGTGCGCAAAATACGTTTAAGAATGCGCGTTTAATGTATAATGGACGGTATAAGCTAAGCTAAAAGGATCTAATTCAGTTAATGTAGCATATTGCGTTGTTCCTTAATCTTCGAATTGGATCCAGCTTATTATTTTTTGCAGACTGTTAGAGCAATTTTATAAAAGTAAACTTGAACTTTCGATTATGTCAAATAGAATTTCTGATATATATTTACTAATATGTAAAGGATCTACAAAGCAAAAGCATGTTTTGAAGTCCATTAAACAAAAAGTAGAATTGCTGCAAAAAATGGATAAAGGCATATCCTTTGTTATCTAACTTTAACGTTTGTTTATCTAAACTTGTTTATTTAAAGCACGTGGCGTGCAATGAATTGGAAGTTGATCTGTCAGCACTATCCTTATTTTCAGGGCAGATGTTTTTATTTTATTTGGCTTATAATTCCTTACTAAATGTAGTATTTCATCTCGATGTACTCCTTCTTTGATATGATTTAAATCAAATTCCTCGTCATTATAATTCACTTCAGATAGCGAAGAAAGTGACAGAGATTATTGAAAACAAAAAAATTTGCAAATTTGCGTTATACATGTGCGTTTAACGTATAATGGACGGTATAAGCTAAAATTATCTAATTCAGTTAATATTGCAGATTGCGTTGTTCCTTAATCTTGAATTGGTCCGGCTATTATTTTTGCAGACTGTTAGAGCAATTTTATAAAAGTCAGCTTGAACTTTCGATTATGTCAAATAGAATTTCCGATGCTGGAGCTCCCAAAGGATCTACAAAGAGAAAGTATGTTCGATTGTCCATCAAACAAAACGTGGAATTGCTGAAAAAATGGATAAAGCATGAAGAAAGTGACAGAGAGGTTAGTGAAAAGAAAAAATTTCTATTGACAAATTAGTCTGTATTCTCGAACAGAATTATCGGACTTGAACAGCGAACTTTGTAATGAACAAGAAATTATGTCTGTTTATAGAATTAAAGAGAATGTATTATCACATAAAAACGAAGCAACTACAACTTACATTGAAAGAAATGTTAATAAAAGTAAACAAATAAATATTAAGCTTTTTTTTTTTTTTTTTTTTTTTTTTTTTTTTTTTTTTTTTGTAATTTTGATACCCTTTAGATCATAATGTTTTTATTCATAAATTACGTTTCATATTTTAATTTTATAATTTCTGCATGAAGTCTTATCAGATTTAAACTGGTGATCTATAATCCAAAAATCGAAACCGGAATCTCGAAGTACCGACGAGTCCAGATTAACAACTTTTGACTGTATCAGTTTAAATCTAATAAGATGACAAATAGAAATTATAAAATTAGAAATATGAAATCTTGATTTATGAAATAATGAAGCATTTATGATCTAAAGGGTATCAAAATTTACAAAAAAAAAGCTTAATATTAATGTTTTTACTTTAATAAATATTTCTTTGAATGTAAATTGTAAGTTGCTTCTTTTTTTGTGCTAATACTTTCTCTTCAATTCTATAGACAGACATAATTTCTTGTTCACTTACAAAGGTCCACTCTTCAAGTCCTGTATTTGCTGTGTGGAGAATTCCGACTAACTTGTCAATCAAAAATTTTCTTTCAATAATCTCTGTCGCTATCTTCATTATCAGGAGTGGTATTTTCTGGATCTAGAACCATACTACGGATTTCGCCGTCCGTTAATTGATTGATGATTGTGGCATTGTCATGGCAATGAAAAATTTGTTAATCATCTTCATTATACGCTTCTCCACATTTCTTTACAAAATCCAGTAACTGGAAAATTTCACCTTAAGTTTGCGATGTCCGAAAACCATCGAATTCGTTGCTATCATCTTCATTGTCCTCACTATGAAATATGGTAGCTGGCCATAAATTATGCCAAGCTTTTTTTAACGTATCTGGAAACACACCTCCCACGATCTTGCGATGCTCCACACAGCAGATTTAATGCTAAAAAATTTCAAAAAGTCTTGAATAGTCTTGCTATTGTTCAAGAAATTTAAAATAGATTTAAAAAATGTTACTTTATATTTGCATTCAGCACGTGCACTATTCCCATATCCATAGGCTGAATGATAGGCCTACAGTTTGGAGGAAAGGATAACACGGATACATTACCTTTCATTAAAACTTTAAGTGAAGTATGAGCCGAACAGTTATCTACAATCAGGACAATTTTTGCATCATCAGGTAAACCAACTGAATTCAAATTTTGCGGAGCCTTGGGTTTGAAATGATTTTCAAACCAATCATACATTAACTCTTGTATTATCCATGCTCTTTTATTTCCATGATAAATAACAGGAAAATTTTTACTACTTTAAATACTTGAGGTTGTGTATTTTTACCGATTACCAAGAGTTTTCACTTGTGAATTCCTGCAGCATTTGCGAAACTAAAATTGGTAGTCTAGCTTTGCAATCTTTAACATCTATTGGAACCTTTCTGTAGAGGTTGCCAAGGTATTTTGCGATACATATTGCCAGCAAAGACCTGTTTCATCAGCATTAAAATTTTGTCCTGGAGATAATAGTCCACTATTAATGAGTTCAGTGATTTCATCTGCGAATAGTTCAGTATCAGCTAAAGGTTTTTCACCTGAAATTTTTAATTGCATTATACCGCAGTGATTTTAAAATTTATTTAACCTATCTGTCAAACATGTGCACTCAGTTTAAAGTTCATTTTATCATGAAATATTTTGGCTTGAGCCATTAGCATTGGACCCATCAATTGCATGCCCTCACTGTGTCTCTGTCTGACATTCAGTCATCACTTTTAGCAAAGTGAATCATTTTTCTGTTATTCATTGTGAGTGGGGTGTCAGAATCCACAAAAAATTCATAAAGTTCCTTTTTCTGTTTTGTCATATACAGTTGAATTTACAATCCCATACTCCCCGCTTAATTTTGAGAGGGATATACCTATATCCATTTTTTTTGCAGCAGTTTCACTTTTTGTTTGATGGACATTGAAACCTGCTTTTGCTTTGTAGATCCTGTGGCAGCTCCAGAATTAAAAACTCATTTCAACATAATCGAGATTTCAGACTTCAATTTTCATAAAATTGCAGTAATTATAAGAGCCTGCAAAAAATAATAAGCTGGATCAAATCAGAAAGTTAAGGACAGCGCAACCTGCTATATTAATTGAAATTCTTTGGAATCAGTAAAGTATAATTTTAGCCTACCTTAACAGTGCGTTATTGGCTATGTAGCATGAGATTGGCGACGAAAGATAAAATGTTTCTTTAAATTTTGTCTTGCTTCTATCGCTCTTTGAGACAGTTAAACCTGAATTGTATTAATTTAGTTATTTTTTATGCTTACGTCTAATTCTTGCGCATGCTTAAGGCTTATCTGTGTCCTGAATAAATAAATTCCCACATTTACTTAAACTTACTGAAAACCGGCACTAGATATTTTGCCGCTTGATGCAGTCTTTTTGGGTCCTAAATTCTGCTACCAAGCAACTCCCTAAGTTCTAAATTTTTGTTGCTCCTTAATTTTGTGTCCCGTATCATCCCTTAATTTTATTACTCAGTGCTTTTCTAAATTCCAATAATTTTGTATTCTCTAAATTCGGCCTCCCGGTGCGACAATGCAAACTCTGGCCCGGGTCTGTATTTATGTGAATAAAAAATCAGTTAGTCTTAATTCAAATAGCTCTAAATGTAATCTTTTAGACTACATTTAGAGCTATTTTTAACAAAATATGTTTTTAGCATATGGGATGAAATTTTTGTTAAATTTTTCTTCGTCAACATTTAGCACATTTAACTTAAATCTAATCACCACCAAGCGTAATGTCAACATAAAAGGTTTCCATGCTCTTTATTATTCAATTACTAATATATAAAAAAAGAAAAAAACTGTGTAGGCATTGTTGCAGGAGTCATTACTCAAGTTGTCATGTAATGATAAACATACAGTGGTGAAAGCATATCTTTCAGATGTATTCTCAAAACCAAGTTAACTAAGTATCTTTCTACATGATAATTTAGTACTTATGTATTACCCCATTGACCGTGAAAGTTGGTGAAGATTCCAGCAAGAATGCATCAATCTTTCCTTCAGAATTCTGAAGTAATGGATACCTATTTATTTATTAAACAATCATTGTTTGACCTACTTTGTTTTTGCGCTCCTTAAAAATTCTTTCAATGATTTCTGCTATTTTGTTCAGCCCTTTGATTTTATTGACAGCTCTATTTAAAATACTGTCAGTCCAAACTCTGTGCAGGTAATAGTTCCAGTCTATTACTGTTTTTTCAGCCATATTCAGCTGACTGTACCATGTCCATTACTATACAGTTTTTTGTGATGGTAGGATGCCATAACTTTGAAATTAACCCGCTTCTTGTTGTTGTGTAGAAGACAGGTCCTACATATATAAAAACAAAATGTGGCCGATCCTTGGGTATTACCGTATTTGATGGCACTTTTTTTCCTAAATTTGGTCTCGAAAAAGTTACCTGTGTCTTATACATGAAGGACACAGGTTTACTTTCAATACTGAATGCTATTTTTAGCTCGGATAAAGGTCTAGACACACATAACTTTTTCTACTTCTGCCATAATTATCTTGCACATGCGTGAAATATCTGTCGTCAAAAAGAGCAAGTTGAAGATGATGTCGAGTTCAAAACAGGTTCGACGTCACATTATGTGATGAGTCAAAGAAAGTCTAGAGAACCTTTCATCTTACTTAGACTTC